CACAATTAACGGGGTTGACTGGAAAAACTGCTGAAAAGTAAATGGCAAAAAAATATGTTTTCCTGTCAGTGGAAAATCAGAGCTTAAGCTAACCATTCACAGTTTGAATGTGGTCTAATTTAGAAGAATTTTTTTTTTTGTGCTTAAATCAGAAAGTAATTTTATTGTACAGTTAGACATACAATCTATTACAACAAAGAAAGAAAGAAACCATCCAGTGTTTACAGCCAACCAAATATCTGTGACCTATATATGTATATATATATATATCCTGATCACCTCCCCAGAGTAGAGTACTACCCTCGCCACAGTAAAAAATAAAAAAAATAAAAAAAATCATAAACTGTTAAAAATGTAATGAAAGAGAAAAAAAAAATTTTTTTTACATATGGTCACCCGTCAGTGTCCCTTATCGCTGCCACACCAGTTATACACTCACCGTCCACTTTATTAGGTACACCTGTTCAACTGCTTCTTGGTAACACAAATTGCTAATCAGCCAATAACATGGCAGCAACAAATGCAAAGGAATTTAAGTGACTTTTAATGTGGCATGGTTGTTGGTGCCAGATCGGCTGGTCTGAGTATTTCAAAAACGGCTGATCTACTGGGATATTCACATACAACCATCTCTAGGGTTTACCGAGAATGGTCCGAAAAAGAGAAAATATCCAGTGAGCAGCAGTTGTGTGAACGAAAATGCCTTGTTGAGGTCAGAGGAAAATGGGCAGACTGCTGCAACATTCAGATGGTAAGGTCAGAATTTGGTTTAAACAAAAGCATGGATCCATCCTGCCTTGTATCAATGGTTTCAGCTGGTGGTGGTGTAATGGTGTGGGGGATATTTTCTTGGCACTAGCAAGATGTACCTAATAAAGTGGTCAGTGAGTGCATGATGATGCTGTGCTGCACTGGTCAAAGTATGTTAAAAAAAAAAAAAAAAAATGTGAACCTTTTTTTTTTAAAAAAATTTTTCCAAAACATTGTGACAAAAAATTTAATTAAAAAACCCCGCAATGTTTCATGCTAAATACAGTGGATATAAAAAGTCTACACACCCGTTATAATGTCATGTTTCTGTGATAAAAGATGAAACAAAAATAAATCATTTCAGAACTTTTTCCACCTTTAATTTGATCTATAAACTGTACAACTCAATTGAAAAACAAACTGAAATCTTTTAGGGGGAAGTAAACATAAAAAACTAAAATAATGTGATTGCATAAGTGTGCACACCCTCTTATAACTGGGGTTGTAGCTGTGTTCAGAATTAAGCAATCACATTCAAAATCATGTTTAATAAGAGTCAGTACACACCTGCCATCATTTAATTTAATCTGATTATCCCCAAATACAGTTCATCTGTTCTAGTAGGTCTTTCCTGACATTTTCTCTGCCGCATCCTACAGCTAAAGCCATGGTCTGCAGAGAGCTTCCAAAGCATCAGAGGGATCTCATTGTTAAAAGATATCAGTTAGGAGAAGGGTACAAAAGAATTTCCAAGGCATTAGATATACCATGGAACACAGTGAAGACAGTCCTCATCAAGTGGAGAAAATATGGTGCAACAGTGACATTACCAAGAACTGAACGTCCCTCCAATATTGATGAAAAGACAAGAAAACTGGTTTGGGAGGCTGCCAAGAGGCCTACAGCAACATTAAAGGAGCTGCAGGAATATCTGGCAAGTACTGGCTGTGTGGTACCATGTGACAACAATACCCTGTATTCTTCATATGTCTGGCCTATGGGGTAGAGTGGCAAGATGGAAGCCTTTTCTCACGAAGAAAACCATCCAAGTCCGGCTCAATTTTGCAAAAACACATCTTAAGTCTCCCAAAAGCATGTGGGAAAATGTGTTATGGTCTGATGAAACCAAGGTTTAATTTTTGGCCATAATTCCAAAAGATATGATTGGCGCAAAAACAACACTGCACATCACTGAAAGAACACCATACCCACAGTGAAGCATGGTGGTGGCAGTATCATGCTTTGTGGCTGTTTTTCTTTAGCTGGAACTAGGGCCTTAGTCAAGGTAGAGGGAATTATGAACAGTTCCAAATACCAGTCAATATTGGCACAAAGCCTTCAGGCTTCTGCTATAAAGCTGAACATGAAGAGGAACTTCATCTTTCAGCATGACAACGACCCAGAGCATGCAACCAAATCAACAAAGGAATGGTTTCACCAGAAGAAGATTAAAGCTTTGGAATGGCCCAGCCAGAGCCCAGACCTGAATCCGATCGGAAATCTGCGGGGTGATCTGAAGAGGGCTGTGCACAGGAGATGCCCTCGCAACCTGACAAATTTGGAGTGTTTTTGCAAGGAAGAGTGGGCAAATATTGCCAAGCCAAGATGTGCTATGCTGATAGACTCATACCCAAAATGACTGAGTGCTGGAATCACATAAAAGGGTGTGCACACTTATGCAACCGTATTATTTTAGTTTTTTATTATTATTATACAGGATTTATATTGCGCCAACATTTTGCTCAGCGCTTTACAATATAAAGGGAGGCAATACAGCAACAATACAGTTCAATACAAGAGGGATAGGAGGGCCCTGCTCCTTGGAGCTTACTTTTTATTTTTACTTCCCTCCACCTAAAAGATTTCAGCTTGTTATTCAACTGAGTTGTACAGTTTATAAGTCACATTAAAGGTGGAAAAAGTTCTGAAATAATTTATCTTTGTCTCATTTTTTTTACATCACAGAAACCTGACATTTTTAACAGGGGTTTGCACACTTTTTATATCCACCGTACATTGGACTGTCTATTGGGAGATTTGTACTGTCCTGGCATTCTCGGGCCTCAAGGAATGAGCTAGCCATCAGTACTTCAGGATTGATCGATTTATATATATATGTATATATATATATATATATATGTATATATATATGTATATATATATATATATATATGTATATATATATATGTATATATATATATATATATATATATATATATGTATATATATATATATATAAAGTGAACTTAGAAAAGCGCCACACCCTTAATTATATATAGCAGCAACTCCAAATCCAAAAATACCTTGGCATTAAATAAAGCAAGCATAGGAATGCACTAAATCATTCCTATGCTATGCTTGCACTAAATCATTCCTATATAGATAGACAGATAGATAGATAGATAGATAGATAGATAGATAGATATATACAGTTGTGTTCAAAATAATAGCAGTGTGAAAAAAGTGAATAAAGCTCAAAATCCTTCTAATAGCTTTTATTTCCATACACACAAATACATTGGGAACACTACACATTCTATTCCAAATCAAAACATGAAGAAAAATATATCAAATTTGTGTTGTTCCTCTAAAAAAAATTGAAGAAAAGTGAATATTAGACTGTTCAAAAAAATAGCAGTGTTTGTATTCTTCTTTACAAACTCAAACATTCACTATATAAACTGAAAAATGTTTGAAAATTTTGCTTTCCTTTGAATCAATAAATATTTAGTTGTATAAGCACTGTTTCTGAGAACTGCTGTACATCTGTGTTGCATGGAGTCAACCAACTTCTGGCACCTGTGAACAGGTATTCCTGCCCAGGATGATTGGACTACATTCCACAGTTCTTCTCTATTTCTTGGTTTTGCCTCAGAAACTGCATTTTTGATGTCACCCAACAAGTTTTCTATTGGATTAAGATCCGGGGATTGGGCTGGCCACTCCATAATGTCAATCTTGTTGGTCTGGAACCAAGATGTTGCACGTTTACTGGTGTGTTTGGGGTCGTTGTCTTGTTGGAACACCCATTTCAAGGACATTTCCTCTTCAGCATAAGGCAGCATGACCTCTTCAAGTATTCTGATGTATTCAAACTGATCCATGATCCCTGGTATGCGATAAATAGGCCCAACACTGTAGTATGAGAAACATCCCCATATCATGATGCTTGCGCAACCATGCTTCACTGTCTTCACAGTGTACTGTGGCTTGAATTCAGTGTTTGGGGGTCGTCTGACAAACTGTCTCCGGCCACTAGACCCAAAAAGAACAATCTTACTTTCATCAGTCCACAAAATGTTGCACCATTTCTCTTTAGGCCAGTCAATGTGCTCTTTGGCAAATTGTAACCTCTTCAGCACGTCTTTTTTTCAACAGTGGGACTTTGCGGGGACTTCTTGCAGACAGCTTGGCTTTACATAGGCGTCTTCTAATTGTAACAGTACTCACAGGTAACTTTACACCTTCTTTGATCTTCCTGGAGCTGATTGTTGGCTGAGTCCTTGCCATTTTGGCTATTCTTCTATCCATTCGAATGGTAGTTTTTCGCTTTCTTCCACGTCTTTCAGGTATTGGTTGCCATTTTAAAGCATTTGCGATCATTTTAGCTGAGCAGCCTATCATTTTCTGCACTTCTTTTTATGTTTTCCCCTCTCCAATCAACTTTTTAATCAAGGTACGCTGTTCTTCTGAACAATGTCTGGAACGACCCATTTTCCTCAGAATTTCAGAGAGAAATGACTGTAACCAGCATGTACAACATTTGCTGCCTTCCTTCCTTAAATAAGGGCAATAATTGCCACTTGTTTTTCAAAGAATGAATGACCTCACTAATAGAACTCCACACTGCTATTATTTTGAACATGCCCCTTTCAATTAGTGATTCAATTACACAGAATCAGCAGCATGCATGTCATGACTGTTGGGTCTGTTGGATTTCTATTACTCTACTACACCTCCTAGTAAATTATTTGCCATGTAGAAATATCAAGAATGATTGATCAGGTTAGTGATGTCTGACTGCTATTATTTTGAACACAACTGTGTATGTATATGTATGTATATATATATATATATATATATATATATATTTAATCTCATAATGTGTGGACTCTATAACCTTCACACAGACTAAATAATATACACTAATGTGGGTTATTTTCACTAAAGAAATGTAGCAGTATACATTTTGGCCTAAATGTATGAAGAGAAAGTACCGTATTTTTTGCTCCATAAGACGCACCTAGGTTTTAGAGGCAGAAAACAGGAAAAAAAATATTCTGAACCAATGGACTGCAGACATAGTACAGGAGATGACCAGAGACTGCGGACATAGTACAGGAGTTGACCAGAGACTGCGGACACAGTACAGGAGATGACCAGAGACTGCGGACACAGTACAGGAGATGACCAGAGACTGCGGACACAGTACAGGAGATGACCAGAGACTGCGGACACAGTACAGGAGATGACCAGAGACTGCGGACACAGTACAGGAGATGACCAGAGACTGCGGACACAGTACAGGAGATGACCAGAGACTGTGGACACAGTACCGGAGATGAGTAGAGACTGCGGACACAGTACAGGAGATGACCAGAGACTGCGGACACAGTACAGGAGATGACCAGAGACTGCAGGCACAGTACAGGAGATGACCAGAGACTGCGGACAGTACAGGAGATGACCAGAGACTGTGGACAGTACAGGAGATGACTGCTGACCTTTGGGGAGGGGGGGAGCGGGTACCTGAATCTGACAGGTACCCACTCTTACTTCTGCAAAGTTGTTCTTTGGTTAGTGTCCGCTCTGCAGCAGGACCTTACCTGTTCTTCTATCCAGCGGCGTGCTGTCTTCCCGGCTTCTGTAGTGTGGGCGCTCTGCTTGAAAGCTGGGTGCCCAGTGCGCATGAGCGAGAAGCGCTGCGCTTTGTTATTGGTCCGGCAGCTTCTGGGATCTGTCATGTGTGTCCCAGGTGCCGCCTTACCATTCACAAAGCGCACCGCTTCTTGCGCATGCACACTTGGCACCCGGCTGTGAAGCCGAGCGCCCACACTACAGAAGCCGGGAAGACAGCACGCCGCTGGATAGAAGAACAGGTAAGGTCCCACTGCAGAGCTGAGTGGCCGCCCTGGTATTCTGACACGGCGGCGGTGGAAATACTGGACTGGCCGCTCCATAAGACGCACTGACATTTTCCCCCCTTTTTTTGGGGGAAAAAAGTGCGTCTTATGGAGCGAAAAATACGGTATCTTTTTGCAAAATGTTATAACAGAAATGAAGAAAAATGCATGCTAATTAAATACTGCCACTAGAAAAAAAGCTCTATTTGTGTGAAAAAATATAAAAATGTAATGTGGGTAGTGTGCAATTGTCATTCAAAGGGTGACAGCACTGAAAGCTGAAAATTGGCCTGGGCAGGAAGGGGGTGAAAGTGTTAGGCTGGCCATACACTACACAATTTTCTGTCTAATTTCTGCCTAATTTCCTTTAGATTTACCTTCAAATATGTAGTGCAAGTGCCTGCCTAATTGGATACAACTGAAAGTGTTGTTTGGGTTTGACCTCCTATTATATGGTTTTTGGTAAATCCAAACCAAAAATCTAAAAACAATTGTATAATGTATGGCCAGCCTTAGGTATTGAAGTAGCTAAAGGAGCCGAGTCAAAAATAGTCAGCCGAATAGTACCTGCAGCACTTCTTGCTGCTATCGGAATACAATAGCCTAGCAGGGGGATTTCATCCATCCATGCCGTTTGCGTGGATCGGGTAATCTGATGACAAAAATAAATCCTAGTGTATGGCCAGCTTTAGTCCTATCATTTTTTATTCCAGTGTGTCTAATAAAAACCTGCTTAAGGGTCAAGTTAGTTGCTTTCATGACCTAAAAATTGCCATTTGTGGTGAATTAAGTATATTGGAACGCCTGATTTGATGATCATATTTAAAAAAGGGATGTGCTTTTCATTGGAATGGAGATTTTTGACTTTAGGCTATTTCATAATCAAACATTTCTCACTCCAGTAAATCAGAAGCACTTACTAGACATTTTCATAAATTGCTACGTCTATAGAAATAGTGAGGCAATACCAATTAAGCCTTTTCATATTCTCTTAATGATACCTCAATAGATAATATTACTCAAAATATTATATTTAATTATTAATAATTTTCCATATTACACATTTTTTCTTTCCTGTGGGGAAGTGTTTAGGTCAGCACGAGGTTATCCCACTCCCAAATTCCTACTGGGCGAGTCATGTACTTTACAAGAAACTCCAAACAGATTGTAACAGAAATATTCCACTCTACCTCCAGCCCAGTGATGTACCGCTGCATGTTTTCTTACACACTGTACAGTTTTCATGAAATATAATTCAGTGACTTATTGTTTATTTATTTCAGGTACTTATACAGCACCATCAATGTACACAGCGCTTTACACACACACACACACACACACACATATATATATATATATATATATATATATATATATATGTATATATAGTACATTCACATCAGTCCCTAACCCTCAAGGAGTGTACAATCTTAGGTCCCTAACTCACATTCATACATACACATACTAGGGCCAATTTAGACAGGATTTAACCTACCAGCATGTCTTTGGAGTGTGGGAGGAGACCCGAGTACCCATACGAAACCCACGCAGGCACAGGGAGAACATGCATGCTCCAGGCAGGAGGTGCCATGGTTGGGATTCGAACCAACAACCCTAGTACTGCTCGGCGGACGTGATAATCATTTAGCCACTGTGCTGCTCACAGTTCTATTCCCTTTGTGAGAGATACTTATTCCCAATTGGCACAGGCAATAGATACAGATAAACATCCAGTATCTTAGGATCCAGGTACACTGAAACATTTTTTCTACTGGCAGCAGAAAAAATGCTAAACGCATGTAAAGGTGGTATCGTGCTTAGCTATTGGACATTTATTCATTATGGTTATACTCACTATGAAATCTAAGGGGGTTAATCCTCTGCATTGTGTAAAAAAAAAAAGCTGTTGATCCTCACTTCTCTGATCTTCCCCTTCATCCAGTGTCCCCCTCTAATTTTCTGACATATTGTGTGGAGTCACTTTGTACATGCTCAGTTTACTATGTATTGCTAGAGATGTTTTTTTTTTTTTTTTTTTGGGGAGAGTGCATGTGATCAGCACAGGGCCAATCAGCACTGTCCAGACAGAGGTCAAGGGCTTTGCATCCTCCTAGAGCAGAAATAAAACACCTACAAGCTTTAACCAGTGCTCTGCTGAGCACTGATAGAAGTCACAAGACTGCTCTAACTGCTGATGGGAAAGGTATTTAGCAGACTATGTTTACTAAAATAATAGCATTTCTATGTTCTGTGCACTGTGGGAGACCAGAGAGAGTGAATGCCGGGTCCTGGGTTTAGTAACACTGTAAATGGCTATCTGAAAGAGTCCTTAGAGTACAAAATATACTATATACAAAGGTTTTACAGACAGCTGTTCACTTTGTGCACTAATTCATTCATTTTCTATCACATAATACTCTATATACTACATTTTACTAAAGAGTCAATATTTTACCTATTTACAACGGGAAGAAGGTACATTTTAAATAAGAAAACAACTGCAATGTTATAGTCTGAATCTGACTGGAAGTAGAGGGCATATAAACAATTTTCTATTACAGTAAACTAATCACATAATTCTGTCAACTTTCCTTATGTATTTTGTCATACACTATATTTCCAAAAGTATTGGGATGCCTGCCTTTATACGCACAGGAACTTTAATGGCATCCCAGTCTTAGTCCGTAGGGTTCAATACTGAGTTGGCCCACCCTTTGCAGCTATAACAGCTTCAGCTCTTCTGGGAAGGCTGTCCACAAGGTTTAGGAGGGTGTCTATGGGAATGTTTGACCATTCTTCCAGAAGCGCATTTATGAGGTCAGGCACTGATGTCGGATGAGAGGGCCTGGCTCACAGTCTCCACTCTAATTCATCCCAAAGATGTTCATTTGGGTTGAGGTCAGGACTCTGTGCAGGTCAGTCAAGTTCCTCCACCTCAAACTCGCCCATTCATGTCTTTATGGACCTTTCTTTGTGCACTGGGGTGCAGTCATGTTGGAACAGGAAGGGGCTATCCCCAAACTGTTCCCACGAAAATTGGGGGCATGAAAATGTCCAAAATGTCTTGGTATGCTGACGCCTTAAGAGTTCCCTTCATTGGAACTAAGGGGCCAAGCCCAATCCCTGAAGAACAGCCCCATACCATAATCCCCCTCCACCAAACTTTACACTTGGCACAATGCAGTCAGGCAAGAACTGTTCTCCAGGCAACCCCCAAAACCGGACACGTCAGGCTGTAGAGTCCAGTGGTGGCGTTCTTTACACCACTGAATCCGACGCTTTGCATTGCACTTGGTGAAGTAAGGTTTGGTCAGCCAAGGAAACCAATTCCATGAAGCTCTCTATGCACTGTTGTGCTAATCTGAAAGTTACACATAGTTTGGAGGTCTTTAGCTATTGACTCTGCAGACAGTTGGTGACTTCTGCGCACTGTGTGCTTCACCATGCGCTGACCCCACTCTTTCATTTTACATGGCCTACCACTTCATGGCTGAGTTGCTGTTGTTCCCAGTTGCTTCCACTTTGTTATAATACCACTAACAGTTGACCATGGAATATTTAGTAGCAAGGAAATGTCACAGATGGACTTATTGAACAGCTTGCAACCTATCACGGTACCACACTTGAATTCACTGAGCTCCTAAGAGCGATTTGATTTGAGGGGTGTCCCAATACTTTTCGCAATATAGTGTATGTAAATTGAAAGCCGTATTTTCTTTGAAACTCTCCTATTTCTGCATCAGTTTAAAGGCCTTTCATTCACAGAACACATAAGTGGAAACTGAATAAAAAAAGGGATAATTGAAGCAACTGATCAGATTTTCTGATGAAAGTTCTGAGTTAATTAAACCAATCTTAGTTATGTGCTGTAGGCAAAAAATCCATGTTCCAATTGCTAAAAGTCAAACTCTGTTTTTGTTTTAAATAGATTGCCTAGTCCAATGTGTCATTTTGGTCAAATCTAGAAATTCTGAAGGACCTTCTGCGCACTGGTATATACCCTTTCAAGCAGACCATGCAATAAATAGGAATATTTAGTTCACACATATTACAATACATGGTTAAGCTGGCCAACTGCGTCAAAGTAATCCCTCTATGGCCAGTCCTACTCTGCTCTGCCTATGCAAATGCTACTGTGGACACAATGCCAACATAGGGGAAAAGACACAATGTTTGTTATTTTGGTCAAATCTATCCCACTGATATGAAAGATGTGCATATATTATGTTGAGTTTTGTGGCTATAAATGTGTTTTGGTTATTTGTAAACAGTTGAACTAGGGCAGGTTTTCTCACCTATTGTTTAGTAAGAAGTCTCCGGGGGTTCCGTTGTGATATACCCATCGATTGCAGGCAGGGTAACTGGTAGATCACGTCCCCATCTAGCCCCCACTGATTGCTGCTGGCCATCCCCTCTATCCATCCTAGGCACTTGTATGTGAGATCACATGGAGTGGGCAAGAGATGAAGGCCGGCAGAGATTAGCATGCCAGAATCTGTCACAGTAGCTTTTCTGCACTGCTCTGTTTGTGAAGAGAACTGGTATTGTACTGTAGACTGGTGCCCCCCTGTACTCCACCCTGCCTTGCAGGTCCCCTGTACTCTGCCCTGCTGACCTCCTGTACTCTGCCATGCTGATCCCTGCACACTGCTTATTTCTGGTTCAACCCAGAATTTAGCTGCACAGAAAACAGACAAAAACAAGCACATTTCACATTATGAAGGCAAATTTTATCTTCTTCACGCTGGCACCTCCCAGCTCTTTAAGCAGTTTCAGAGGTTGGGAGGCGGGGCATGGTTTTAGGGTCATGTGACCATCATGATTCGCTGTCACGGCGGTCACATAATTGGAAAAGGTCCTGATCGCAAGGGGAGATCGGGACCTTTCCGTGAGACACTGGCATATGTGCTGGGAGCGCGCAGGGCGTTTGCTCTCAGCACATATGTGTTTTCAAATAGTACGCAAATATGCAGCTGCTTGGCGTCAAGGCCCAGCCGGCGAGAGGCCGCATATTTGCGTACGATCGGCATCAAGGTGTTAATATGTATTATATTATTTACTGTTATTTCTAAAAAATAAGTGGGTTATCGACAGCTTGGTGATCATATCAATGTTCCATGAGCTGTAGATCTACAAACTATTTCATGGGTCCCCTGAGATCTTAAACCTTTTGGCAAGGATTCCTCCAAAGTAAAAGGGTTGAGAAAAGCTGAACTCGAGGATCCAGATTGCTAAAAAGCCCGGCGCTGCATGGGGTGTTTCCTGTCCTTTTCCATCTGTTTAATGTCCTTGGCATTATGTCAAGGAAATGTGTCACATCTGTCCAATGTCAGGTAAGAGTCTATCTTATAACAATGTGGGTTGTTATAAACTCATTATCTACTGTACTGCATACTGTTTTCTTTCCTCTGTCACTTCTGGTTATGAGAATTCTCCTAGTGATTGCTGCCCATGAAGGTTAGTTGACACTATAAGCTGGTTATAAACAGAAGGTATAGAACAACATCTCAAACGTTTCTGCAAACACTACATCCATGTTAGTATGCAACATTCATGTAATCTGAAAATAAACCTATATCTGAGTGCTAGAACTTGACTGGCTCTCTGCATGTATCTCTGTTGACAGTTGAATATCAATTTGGTATCACAAATCCAGTAGTTTTCTGAGGATCATCTACAGTAGACCAGTGGTCTCCAAACTGTGGCCTTTTGCATGCCTTCATAGACCCTTGAGTCATCATTTCTGCTACTGAAACCAACAATGGGGCACTATTATTTCCACTGTCATCAACAATTGTGAATAATTCCTTCCACTGACAACAAAGTGGGGCACTATTCTCCCACTGTCACCAACTATTTCTGCCCCTAATACCAAAGATTGGGCAGTGTTTACTCCCACTGGGCACAGTCCATCCCCAAGGACAGTAAACTAGCCCTTTCTTTATAAAGTTTGGAGACCCCTGATCTAGACCACATGTGTCAATCACAAGGCCCTACAGGGCTCCGCTCCCACCTTGTCTCAGCAGTTGGCAGCAAATAGGACAGAACTCATTTGTCAGATTCTGCACTTCTCCATGCAGCCGCAAAGAGGCCCGTCAGCAGCAGAAAGGATAACAAAACTCCTACAGATCCTGATCCTCTCTGTGCAGCCACAGTCCCCCTTCATCTACGATTCCCCTGGTCTCAGCATTCAGCAGACTCCGGCTGCTGACTCCACCCCTCCTCTGGTGGTCCTCCAGGCCCTGCATTTTATGCTTCCCAGCTCCGCCCCCAGTTTCTTCCCGGCAGGACATGGGGTAAGGGGGCTGCACTGTGATGTAAGGAAGGGTGGTGGACTCTTGACATCAGATGCAGGGGGGATGGAATGCTCTGGACATCTAGTCTTACAGATACAATCGGCCCTTTGAGGGCAACCATAATGCTGATGTGGCCGGGAGTTAATTGAAGTTTGACACCCCTGATTTAGACTGTAATATGGTGCATTGTAAGGGAGCATGAAGAATGCCCACCCCATTCATTTCACTATGCCTTCACCAGACTTGAAGGATACACACACATATTTAGCCATTTTAATACTGGACACTTTTTTCCTCATTCCTGCCCAGGTCAATTTTCAGCTCTGAGCACTTTCACACTTTGAATGACAATTACTCAGTCATGCAACACTGTACCCAAATGAAATTTGTATTACGTTTTCACACAAATAGAGCTTTCTTTTGGTGATATTTAATAGCCACTGTTTTTTTTTTTTTTGCTTGCTAAATAAACTAAAAAAGGCCAAACAGTTTGAAAAAAAACTAATTTTTCTTCCAGTCTTTAAACCCTTTTGGGTGGAGCACCGCTTTAATTCCCACGTTCGTCCACAAATATATTCATTATATTCACAATTTTAAGGCTACATTAAAATGTAATAACCCCTGTGCAAATGATCTATCTCAATGATTAGCCCTGACCAATTACTCACAACACAAATGATTTGTAACCACTTGCCCTCCAGAGGATTTACCCCCTTTCCTGACCAGGCCATTTTTTGCATTATGGTGCTGCGTTAATTTAACTGACAATTGTGCGGTCATGCAACGCTGCACCCAAATGAAATTAACGTACTTTTTTCCCCCATCAATAGAGCATTCTTTCAGTGCTATTTGATAGCCTGTGTGTTTTTTATTTTTGCGCTATAAAAAAAAAAGACTGTCAGTTTTGAGGAAAAAAAAACAATATTATTGACTTTTTGCTATTAAACATGTTCAGTAAAAAAATTTAAAAAATCTAATTTTGTCATAAATTTAGGCCAAAATGTATTCTGCTACATGTCTTTGCTAATCCCAATACGGGTAATTTAATTGGTTTACATGAAAGTTATAGCGTTTACAAATGGCGGTATAGATACTGGGTTTTTTGTTTCTTTTTAACTAGTAATGGCGGCGATCAGCGACTTATAGCGATCTGTTGGAATTAATAGTTCATTACACATAGAGATTCAAGCTGTACAGTTCTATGTGCTGCTCTGTACTTCTCTGTAAATTGCGAATGTACTTTGTGTTCCACTCACATAATTAATGTTTACAAGCCTATATAAAATCAATGGATCCAATTTACAAAAACAAACAAAACAAAAGATTATCCTTATAGCAACTAGGGCTAATGTTTGGGTTCACCTCTGTCTTGGGGTCGAGATAAATCCCCCATGGTTTGCAAATCACAAAATGTAGATTCTGAAAGCTTGGCAGGTTCACCACCAAAAATTCAAAAACCACCCATAATGCAGTGCATAACAAACTGAGTCACAGCTGAGTTCACAGTAGCCGCCTCTGAGGTCACATAGTTCTGTAACACCACAGCTTTAAAGTGGAACTTCACCCAAAAGGGGGAATTATGTTCCTCCTCATCCCCCCTCCCTTTCAAAATTGGCATTTTTTTTTTTTTTTGGGGGGGGGGGGGGGGGACAGGTACCTGGTTGTTTGGACAGGTACCCACTCCCACTTTTTCTCTGACCGCCTACGTGATCAGAGTGGAGGTTCACCCCCTCCTCTCCCCGCAGTCTCTTGGGACACATCACAGGTTCCAAGAGACTGTGGGACCAATCACAAGGCGCAGCTTGGCTCGCACATGCGCAGTGCACAGCCGACTGTGAAGTCGCAAGCTGTTACATTCAGTTGCCCATGCCAGTGCTGGTAACCCAAAGAGCGGTGAAGAAATCTGGTCAGAAGAGCATGGCACTGAATCCCCGGAGAGGTGAGTGGCTGCTTTTTTGAAAGTCAGCATCTACAGGTTTTGAAGCTGCTGACTTTTAATTTTTACACGGGGGATGGAAGAACCGCTTTAAGGCATTCCCTAAGCCTGTGAATGTACCCCTTCGCTGGTGCTGATTTCGGAACATGAACTGTAAGATGCTGGAACAAGGGAACCAGGGGTGGACTGACCATTTGGAAACTTGGGCACTGCCCGAGGGCCCGGGGTCAGTAGGGGGCCCCATAAGATGCCCCATAAGATGCCCCTGGTACCTTTTTCATAGGCTTTTTTGAGTTTAGGCAAGGACACAGGGGCCCCAGGATCCCCTATTGCCCAGGGGCCCCATGAGTTGTCAGTCCGCCCCTGAAGGGAATTATAGTTCCCAGAGGAGTAAAAATAAAAAAAAAGTCTTACTAAAAGATAAAAAAAAATCATTTGGGCCACAATATGCAAAGAAAGGTACATACATAGACAGAAATAATGATAAAATTCACAATATCAGCTAAATGAAACATTAGATCCCTTAAAAAAGTCGGAAATGACGAAACGCGTTATTGGAGTGATGTCAGACATACACCGGAAGTTGCATAGCGGCCAACTTGGATAAGGTCTAGAGCCAACAAACACTGTGTGTTGATGAGGAATATATGCTGATGTGCACTGCTTTGTTTGTAAGTGCTTTTATTAGAATAAATTGTTTTAAAAAACTGTAATACACTATGTATGCTTATCTGTTTTGATCTACATACCATTGGAATACTGGGAATACTGTTGATCGGGAAGAGCTGTTTCTACAGCTTTTTGGCTGACTTAGTCTGGTAAGGTGCATGCTCTGTGAGGTGGTGGAGTGATATATCACTTGTCATTGGTGGTCACAACTGATTTAAGAGTGGAGCACGAGAGGACACCTTTTTGAGTTATTGATGGTATTACACTATACAGTCATGGCCGAAATTGTTGGCACCCTTGATATTTCTCCAGGAAATCATGTATTTCTCACGAAACGTATTGCATTAACACATGTTTTGCTATACACATGTTTATTCCCTTTGTGTGTATTGGGACAAAACAAAAAAAGGGAGGAAAGAAAGCAAATTCGACATAATGTCACACAAACCTCCAAAAAGGGCTGGACAAAAGTATTGGCACCCTTTCACAACTGCGGATAAATAAGAATGTTACAAGCATGTGATGCTCCTGTAAACTCACCTGGGGCAAGTAACAGGTGTGGGCAATATAGAAATCACACCTGAAAGCAGATAAAAAGGAGAGACGTTCACTTAACCTTTGCATTGTGTGTCTGTCTGTGCCACACTAAGCATGGACAACAGAAAGAGGAGACGAGAACTGTCTGAGGACCTGAGAACCAAAATTGTGGCAAAATATCAACAATCTCAAGGTTACAAGTCCATCTCCAGAGAACTAGATTTGCCTTTGTCCACAGTGCGCAACATTATCAAGAAGTTTGCAACCCATGGCACTGTAGCTAATCTCCCTGGTCGTGGACGGATGAGGAAAATTGATGAAAGATTGCAACGCAGAATAGTCCGGATGGTGGATAAGCAGCCCCAAACATGTTCCAAAGACATTCAAGCTGTCCTGCAGGCTCAGGGAGCATCAGTGTCAGCGCGAACTATCCGTCGACATTTAAATGAAATGAAACGCTATGGCAGGAGACCCAGGAGGACCCCACTGCTGACACAGAGACATAAAAAAGCAAGACTACAGTTTGCCAAAATGTACTTGAGTAAGCCAAAAGCCTTCTGGGAAAACGTCTTGTGGACAGATGAGACCAAGATAGAGCTTTTCGGTAAAGCACATCATTCTACTGTTTACCGAAAACGGAATGAGGCCTACAAAGAACAAAACACAGTACCTACGGTAAAATATGGTGGAGGTTCAATGATGTTTTGGGGTTGTTTTGCTGCCTCTGGCACTGGGTGCCTTGACTGTGTGCAAGGCATCATGAAATCTGAGGATTACCAAAGGATTTTGGGTCGCACTGTAGGGCCCAGTGTCAGAAAGCTGGGTTTGCGTCCAAGATCCTGGGTCTTCCAGCAGGACAATGACCCCAAACATACGTCAAAAAGCACTCAGAAATGGATGGCAAAGAAGCGCTGGAGAGTTCTGAAGTGGCCAGCAATGAGCCCAGATCTAAATCCCATTGAACACCTGTGGAGAGATCTTAAAATTGCTGTTGGGAAAAGGTTGTCCTTCCAATAAGAGAGACCTGGAGCTGTTTGCAAAGGAAGAGTGGTCCAAAATTCCGGGTGAGAGGTGTCAGAAGCTTATTGATGGTTATAGGAAGCGACTGATTTCAGTTATGTTTTCCAAAGGGTGTGCAACCAAATATTAAGTTAAGGGTGCCAATACTTTTGTCCAGCCCATTTTTGGGGTTTTGTGTGACATTATGTCATATTTGCTTTTCTGCCTCTGTTTTATATTTGTTCCAATACATACAAAGGGAATAAACATGTGTATAGCAAAACATGTGTTAATGCAATACCTTTTTTGTGTGAAATACTTGATTTTCAGGAAAAATATCAAGGGTGCCAACAATTTCGGCCATGACTGTATATAACTTTCTCTGGAGGGTATATCTCCTATGGAAGGGGAGGACGGAAATAGGAATCTGTGAATTGAAAGAGTTCTATTGATGGAACCTGTTATAAGGCCTTTTTTAAATATATAGAGGGTAAGAGTAAGAATTACAGATGTATAGAAGGGAACACATGGTGGAGTGGTTAAGCACAGATTTTCTACACATTTTGTGAGTGCGATTCTTTCAAAATAATGGTGATCATATTGAGGATAATGCACTGTGTGTGTTTATATATATTTTTTTGAGGGTATCAAGTAGAAGAGGAAATAAGAATCACACATGGAAGGACACTGAATAAGAAGGAGATTTTTTCACATGAATGTAGGGGTATTTCACTGTACGGACACTGTGAGAGACTTTTGTTTTGATTTTTGTACTTTCTGGGGAGAAAGTAATATCCTGGCATCTAGGGATTGAACACATATTTGATTTCTGTCAGATTAGAGGTTACCAGTTGTTTAGAAATGTTATTAAAAGGAAATCATAAATAGAAAATCCCCTTACATAACTGACCAGCAGGGGGAGTCTGATGTACATTTTGTACATATGCAGTAAAGCATGCTTGTTATACTCACTGTGGAACCTAAGGGGTTAATCCTCTGCATTGTGTAAAAAGGCTGTTTGATCCTGTCTTCTTTGATCCTCCCCTTCTTCCAGTATATCATCTGATAAGACGTATCGTGTGGAGTCATTCTGAACATGCTCAGTTTAGTGTGTATTACTAGAGAGTTTTTTTTTCTTGGTAGGGTTCATGTGATCAGCACAGGGCCAATCAGCACTGTCCAGACAGAGGTCAGACTGATAGAAGTCACAAAACTGCTCTAACTGCTGATGAGAAAAGGTATTTAGCAGTTTATATTTACTAAAATAATTGCATTTCCATGTTGTGTGTACTGTGGGAGACCAGATATAGTGAATGCAGGGTCCGGGGAGACCAGATATAGTGAATGCAGGGTCCTGGGTTTGGTAACACTTTAAGAACCTTAGTAAGTACAGTAAATAAAAAACTGTTTTGTTGCAGATAGGACTGGCAGCCAAAAGGACATTTGTTACAAAATAGCTTCCATTCCAACCTTGTAGAAACATTTGTATGAATACCTTCATTCACACTTGTGGCTGGGGCTTGGGGACAGTAAAAATAGGTGGTTGAACAGAGGTTTTACAGCCCCTCAACTACCCCCCGTAACCCTATTCAGCACTCGGAAGGGGTTGCAAACATGGCACTGCAAAAAATATGTGATGTGGTATGTGATGTGGATTTTTCAGGGTTCAAACAGGCACTCTCGAGGCAGCATATCGCCTCCTAGTTGCCTGTCAACCGCCCTTTGAAAATCGATCCACTGCAAAGTGTGAGTGAAGTACATAGTAAGGAGCAAGGTGAAGGTGGAATTTACCTTTTACCTTCCTCCTTAGTATGAACTTCAGTCATATTGTCAGGCTCAAAGTTATGGATGCGTTTAGGTTTATTTATTGGGCCTTATAATATTATTAGACCCCAAGGGATTGATAATAAGATAAGATTTTCTGGGAGTTGCAGTAAAAGTTATTTTGTAACAAGTTTCCTTTTAGTTGTCAGTCCCATCTACATTGTACCTGTCACTGTTCTTATTTACTTACTAAGGCTCTTACTATAAACACCAGACTCCCCCTGCTGGTCACTTATGGAAAATGATTTTCTACTTATGGCTTCCTTCTAAGGCTACGTTCACACTAGCGTGTGTGCAGGCGGCAGAGAGGCATTTGGGAAGCGTTTTTTACCGCTTCCCAAACGCCTCTGACATTTCTGCACATTGCAGCACATGGTGCTGTTCTAACGGGAGCGTTAGCGTCACGTCGCGGCAAAACAGACGCCACTGGTCGAGTCAGGAGGCGTTGAAGCCTCCTATTCTAGTCTATGGTGCCGCTCCGCAAACGCCCGGACGGCATTTGCGGTGCGGTTGCGGGGCGTTTGCGGAGCGGTAACACCATTTAAACTTCATTATAGGCGTTAGTGGGGCGTTTTTAACGCTAAGCAAACACCTAGCAACCCGCGCTAAACCGCGCATGCGGCGTTTGCGGAGCGTTTGCCAAGCGTTAAAAAACACTCCGCAAGCGCCGGACCAATGCTTGCCAAACGCTATAGGGGGCGTTTGGCAAGCGTTGGTAAAACAGTCAAGTGTGAACGAGCCCTAACCGTTCAGTTACTTGATATTATGAATTTAATACAGATTTGTGTCCAATGCTTGTTTTTATGTTTTAATAAGACATTTCTTTTTTCACTGTCCACTATAGTTCCCTTGTTCCACTCCTGTATTCTAATCTTCAGCAGGTAGGCTTGAGAAAGGGGCAGGGCCTTAAAATGCATTGCCATTCTAATACAGGAAGCACTCTGTACTATGAGGTCCTCCAGGAGCCACTGACACTGCACATGTCATTCAAGGTGGGGGTCCAGTGCATCAGTGCTGGCTTTGAATGGGGCGATTTCCAAACTCTGGCTGTTTGCCCACAGATGCTTAGTGTTATGTGAAATATTGTTTTGTTTCCCATTAAATATACATTTTTAATACGTGTTTGTGCCCTTCTTGTTTTTATCTACTTTGCATCAGCAAGATCACTCCTGATTCCAGAGGCGCTGCAGAAGTCAAAGTGGTCACAAGTGGATTTCTCTGTGGACATTATGGACAGAAGGGATTTGTGCATGTTATGCTATGTGCACTACATATATGCTTTTTATATACAACATTGTGGGCAGCACAGTGGCTAAATGGTTAGCACTTCCGCCTGGCAGTACTAGGGTCATCAGTTTGGTTCGAATCCCAACCACAGCACCACCTGCCTGGAGTTTGCATGTTCTCCCTGTGCCTGCGTGGGTTTCCTCCGGGTACTCCAGTTTTCTCCCACACTCCAAAGACGTGCTGGTAGGTTAATTGGCTCCTGTCTAAATTGGCCCTAGTATGTGTATGTATGAATGTGAGTTAGGGACCATTGTACGCTCCTTGAGGGTTAGGGACTGATGTGAATGTACAATATATATGTAAAGCACTGTGTAAATTGATGGCACTACATAAGTACCTGAAATAAATAAACATTCAAGTGGACCTGACTTCTGTCTCCACTCCACTCCAAATGTGTGCTAGGTAGTTACCCCAGCATCAATTCTGACATAAGGAAATGACAAATATTTTACTACAATTCCAGCAACCTTAACTGACTATATGGTACATCACATTCAAAGATCTAAAGAATTTGTCAACAAGCTTCATGGATTCAAGTTTTGATGTCACTCTATTTTCAATCATTTACCAACTCCAGAGACAGTTGAGCCTGCCTGAAACAGAATACGACCCTGGATAGTCAAATGTGACTCAAACTAAACAAAGCATGTTTTTTGTTGGACATTTTTCCAGTATAGGGGTCATTTCAACAGATAGAAACATGGCTGTGCGGTGGGATTACCAATGTCCCATTTTAGCTAAAAAGAGGAGAACCTGGAAAACCACCAAGTTATTGGTTCAGGTATGTGGATGATACATGGGTCAAGATAAAAGCATCTTAAGTACCGGTTTTCAGTAAACAAATGAACTCCATGCTGTTCACATGGAAAGAAGGCACTGAGAATAAATAGGATTGTTCACTTACCTATGAGATGCTTTTTTCCTAATTGTACAGGGTAGAACATGGACTCTTAACCATGGGATGTCTAAAAGCAGTCCAGAAAAGGGGAGGACAACACAGTATTTCAAATGCTAACAGACTTACTAAAAGAGGGCTCAGTAGAGCTCAGAGAGCTGCTTGAACCCCTCCTGCTGAAAGGCCACAATACTAACAGATTTAGTTAGGTGAAACCCTATCCTTAAGCCATAGGCTCAAACGATGACTTGCCATATCCTCCTAGCTAGGTGGAGCAAGGAACTCTACAGGAACCTTCAGGAAAGCCAAAGAAGGAATCCAATTGCCAAAGGGAAGCTATAGCTGAGAGAAAGAGACTTATACAGTATGTACCACATCCAGATATTGGAGAGACTGGCTTCAAGACAGCCTTATCCTTGTGTAACCCTGGGAAGTATCCCTTACAGGATAAGGCCACCAACTCAGACTCCCCTTGCAGAGGTGATAACACCGAAGAAGGCAAATTTAATAGTGAGATCTGCCAGGAGGATATCCATGACAGGTTCAAAGGGTATCCTCTGCATAGCAGATAGAACCAGGTTGAGATCCCACAGTGTCACTGGGAAGCAATGTGAGCAACACCCTGCACAAAAGCCTTTATCAAAGAGGTAACTGGTCTGGTCAAGATCTGCGCCTTGATGGTGCTCCAAGGCCAAATGGTGATCCAGATTTCTGAAACCCCCCCCACCATAAAAAGTAAGCCTTCCAAGTGCAATGGTAGACTGTGGTAGAAGTTGATATCCTAGCTATTGGGGATGATGTATACTGATAGGCCTCTGTCCCTCAGGACCTAGGCTTCAACAGTCATGCATTAAAGTCAGGGACCAAAAAACAGGATAATGACCTCTGACATCAACAAGACATTTTTATCCACACAACTACCACTCGCTGGATATTTTCTCTTTTTGGACCATTCTCTGTAAACCCTAGAGATGATTGTGCATGAAAATCCCAGTAGATCAGCAGTTTTTGAAATACGCAGACCAGCCCGTCTGGCACCAACAACCATGTCATGTTGAAAGTCACTTAAATCTCCTTTCTTCCCCATTCTGATGCTCGGTTTAAACTTCGGCAAGTCATTTTCACCACATCTAGATGCCTAAATGCATTGAGTTGCTGCCATGTGATTGGCTGATTAGCAATTTATGTTACCAAGCAATTAAACAGGTCTGCAACCAACAGGTCCCTCTGGCTTGCCAGGAGAAAGCCCTGCATGCAGGTCCTTACTACAGGGGTCAGTTAATGGGGAACTGCTCGCCTAAACTGTGCTAGTCAGAATACAGGTATCATTACACTTGGTAATCCCATATAGTTCTGTTAAGACACAAGTCAAAGCAATATGTCAAATCAAGCAATGAACTGCTAATACTTTTTAGGGAATGTTGCCCGTGGACTATAGCCAGAACTATCCCCAATTTACGTCTTCTCACAGGCCATGCCTGGTTCTTCATAGTTCTGGCACCCCTATCTCCTCTCTTTTTCTCTTGCCAGTGCCCAGGTTCCCAGTCTGAATCAGAGGAGTTAGCCTAGCCTTAGTTAAAGTAGCAAATTTAGATTCAGCTTTACCTCCACAGTTTCTGTTTATTTTTCGTATTGTGCTCTCATCCCCTGTATGCAATTCCCTTTGTCATACAGGGTTGTTGCAATTTAAGTTTTCCCTGACGAAGCCATGTGGTTGGTGGCGTAACGCGTGGGGCGGAGCCTAGTGACGTCATTGCAGGCTGTTTACGGAGTGGGAATTTTAAATTACAAATCAATCTGTTACTGCTTCTATCATGTGAGTGACACTCTGAGATTATTTTATGTGGAATTAAAACAGAATTATAGTATGGGAGATGTCCTCTGTTCTTTCTATATGTGGAGTTAAGCTGAGAAGAGTCCCGTTTATACTGTCATTGAAGGGGTGCTTGTCATAAGCTCTGTGCTGCCATCTAGATCATCTTGATGAGAGGCCATCCATATATATTTTTAGGTGAAGGAACACTAAGTCAAGGTGGAGCACTGTGGTTTTTGAAATAGACTTCATTTATCTGGAGCACATCGTATTGATTTTCACCATTCAAGAACTTTATTGATTTTCACCATTCAAGCACTTCATATATTTATATTTCATATTTTGAATGAACTATCACATTTAAATCTGTTTATGGACAATTACGTTTACATGAGTTAGCACAACACTATTTATGTATGTTCTAAGTACCAAGAGTTCTAACTTTCAAGAAGCAAGTTCAGTGTCCTCAAAGTTTGTTATAGCAAGTGATTGGAGCATTCTACGTTCCCTACCAATCCCCATCCAAGCTCACCCTAAA